AATGGTCACATTAAAACAATATGAATGCATTCTTACATATCATTCACATCATTTCCACTAAATATTTAGGCTAAAAGATTACAAACTAAAGGTTTTTTATTCACCACGAAAAAATAACAAACTAACCCTAAAACATTCATTAGCTGGGAGTGACTTGAGATGGGCCGGGCAGAATAACTGAAATATACTGTATTTCAAATATGTTAAAGATGATATGATAGAGGTCCTAGGAAAAAGGAAAAGGTTGATTATCTCCCTCTGAACAGTGTCCCTTCCTTAAGGGAGGACACAGGACAGGAGCGTAGAAGCCCCAAATAGTGACTTTGGGGAAAGTTATCTCTGTTATAATGCAGTCTTAAAACACTGCTTGGGTATTTTTATTTTCTTCATTATATATTTCCATATGTTCCATTGTTTATAAACATTATTTTAATTATCACAAAAATGTTCAATTAAAATAAACTAATCAGAAAAAACTAGTATAATAAATTTGAGAACCAAGAAAGAAATATAAACTAGGAAACTACAATGTAATGCAAACTAGGTTTTCTAGCTAAGTTTTAAGTTTACTAGAAACAAGAAGATAATATTTACAAATACATACATTCCTTCAGCCGGTCACGAGTACTCCCTAGTGCCCTGGGCTGCGCTGGCTTTCAGGGGAACACCAAAGAAACTGATGACTTGGCCCTCTGAGAAACTGTGTAATACTGGGGAAAGCAACATAAAGCTCATGCGTTGTTAAAGTCAAACAAGTGCTGTGTGAATTCGATAAAGCTGTGTGTTCTCTGTCCTTATTTTATGGAAATTCTTCTTACACCAGGCCTGGCAGTTCATTTGCCTGCCGTAATAATCCCGGTGTTGCCTACTTTCTTACCCTATGACCACAGGAGAAATTTGTGGAATAGGGGTGCTCTGATCTAATACACTGATTTATTAGGTTATTTTTTGTAAAGCTGTTTGACCTACATACATAGCAGCAATCCCCAATAAACATGGAATTGATTCATTGTCTGATCCTTATCCAAAACATTCCTAAACCTATTTAGCTAATCTGATTGTACTCATATAAAGTTTGTTTGTTTTCCACAGAAAAAGAGCAAATAGTGTCATCTGACTAACTCAATCCCCCAGCTTAACTACTACTTTGAATAGACTCAGACTAGAGTTAGGCAATTCTATTGTGCAGGATAATTACTTGTTGACTGCAATATCAGTTTGTGACATATGTAATACATGGACGAAAAAATTCATTTTTAATGATCAACAGCCTCTGGTCTAACAACTTTATGCGCAGTCACTCTTTTAAACCTCCCTACAACCCCATCAAGTTATTAGTCCCAATTTACAGATGAGGAAACTGAGTTCCAGAAGCAAAATAATTTGTCCAGGATTACACCACCACTAGCTGGTAAAGCCTGTCTGGCTACAGAGCCGACCAGAAGCACATCGCTATCCTACCTTCTCCTGGGGCACCTTCAGTGAGGTGCCAGTAGCACCCCAAATACAGTTTACCTAAAACGTGTTCATCATCATTTTCTTCCTGCAATTAACTTTTCTCTCTTAACTTCCCTATTTCTTTCATCCCTATATTTATAGTTATTCTTTTGTTGTTGTCGGGGGAGGTAACTAGGTTTGTTGTTTGTTTGTTTATTTGCAATGGAATTACTGGGGACTGAACTCAGGACCTTGTGCATGCTAAGCAGGCACTCTACAATTGAGCCATACCCTTCTTCCCTGTATTTATTCTTATTAACACCTGGCTATTTTGCAAACCATGTAACATGATAGAAAAAAAATCCTAACCTGGAGGCCATAAATCTCAAGATTCTGTTCCTCATTCACAGTATGATTCGGGGGCTTTGAGTAACCTCAGAAGGCCTAACTTTCTCATCTGTTAAATAAGGCCTCTCTTCTGCTCGATAATTCCACCCACCACGTTATCTTTATGGCAATGTTTATAAAGTATTTTAAAAATTAACAAACAGTAAAGAAAAAGAAGAAAGAAACATTTTTTAAAAAAATTGAACCAGAAGAATTTTTATTCTGATCACTCAATAATATGGCTCTATATGATAATTTTGTAGCCAAAAAAAAAAAAAAGGCTAAGAAAAAAGTGCCCAGAAAATGTAAATTTCTATGTAAGTTATGGCATAGCCACATAATAAAATATGATGTCACAGTTCCAAGCTACACTTTTAAGAGTTTTGCAAGACATAGGAAATGTTTCAATATTAAGTGCACAAAAGGAACACCAATTCAAATGTCTCCACCTGAAACATCACTTTGTACATATGTATTCTCAAGTTCAATTTTCTAACATCTGGCTGCCTTCCTTCCCGCTTCTCATCTTTCTCTGAGTTCGGGTTAATCAAATTTAAGTATCTTTAGTACAGTAATTCCTTTTGTGTTTTAGGAAGCTTGCCAGCCACCCAAATCTACAGACACCATTAAAAGATGAGGGTCAACAAAGACAGCATCTCACAGAGAAACTGTAACCACCACTACAGGGAGGCATGATGTAGTTTCCCTTTGGGAATTCAACACAGCAAGGACAGCTGAGATGAAATCTGCTTAAGAACAAATCATAAATTGAGACAAGCAACAATTATTCTGTCTGCTATCAACCGTGTGCCATTAAAGAACATTTCCTCTGAAAGTTCTGTGCCTTTAAGTGAGCAAAACAAATTCAAGAGGAAGAGCAGTTGCAGAATATTGCTTTCCTGCAAGCTTAAAAGAAAAGAAGTATAAACATCAAGTGAAAGAAAAGCAAATGAACAATGTCAGCTCAGAGCCTAGAGTATTTATAATAAAAACAAATCTCCACCAAGCTGGATTGTTGGTTATTACATAGGCTTGTGGAGGATCTTTGCTGCCTTGTATATCTGGAGATATTTATCCTTTTAATCACTTTTCTGAACATGAATCTCCTCATACAAAAGATAGCAATGAGCCAATGCTCTTGAGAAAGATGTAAACACTGCACTGAATCCCCACATGTGTTTGACCTTATTATAGTCTTCCTTGTGATTCTAGCTCCATGCTCTTGTCATGTAACAGACAATTGTTTGTCAACATGGTCTTTGTTTAAGAACTGTTTATATCAGTGAAAAAGAAAACCTTTGGCTCTCAAGAAAGAACTCCACAATACAACAAAAATTTTTAGAATCACTGCTATAACTATAGATATAATTAAATTGTCATTTAAATTTTCTATGATAGTCAATGTATATTATATACTTACCATGTGTGCTAGTTGCTTTCTAAACACTAAACCCTCTACAACGGGAAATATGTTATAGACGAGGAAACTGCAACCAAGAGATAGTCTGCAATTTTTCTCATCTCTGGAAATAGGACTCAAATTCAGGTCATTCTGAGTACAGGGAACATGCTCATGACCTTATGTTATGCCGACTCTAACAGCAACACCTAAACATTTGAGAAAAGTTGTTCTTGACAACTGAGACTTAGTCAAAACATTTTAAAAATCTAGTCTCAAAACTTAATGAATAACAGTTTTCTCAAAAAGAGCTGGTTGGCCCTATTCCTGACCCACCCAAAGAAAATGACCATACCAGTCAGCTCATACACCACCAGTAATTAAAAGCCCCATGGACACAGGACATTCCATGCTTGTTCCTGTCCCATTCATGAACCATGAAAGAGCAGTTGGGTCCCAGAATCAGTTACAGGGGGAAATGTAACCTCACGGTTAAGGATTAGGCTGATGCCACCTTACCCCAGTGCTTAATCTTATCCTTACCAACGGAGAAAACCAGAGCTGTTCTGTGATTCCTGATGAGATGCAAGACGAGGGCACATCACCTGTGATGATTTCTAGCCAAAATATTTGATTTGCTCTAACCAGGCTTCTGGACCTAAGTCTCCCATTTCAGGAGTTGCAAGAACCAGAGGAGTAAACTGAGAGGAAGAAATGAGGCAAACTCAGGAGGTAGGATATTCTCCAGAACAACTGGCTCGTTCTCTTCAATAAGTCAGTGTCATGGAAAACAAGAGGCTGTTCTAGACTAAAAGAAACTTCAGGGACATCACATGCAGATGCATTGCAAGGTCCAAAATCCTACTTCAGACAAACCATCTGTTGAGGACATGGTGGTAACAACTAGGGGAATTTGAATATGACAGGGTATTAGACAGTTTAAGAATGATTACCACTTCTATTAGTTGTGAGAATGATAATTGGGCTATGTAGGACAATGTTCTTATCTTTAAGAGATGCATACTGAAGTATTTAGAGGTAAAATCTTAAAATGTCTATATTTTACTTTAAAATACTTCAATATTAACACAGTTTTCAAAAAGAGGGGGGTCAGTTGCAAAAACAATTGCAAAAAATTAGTATAAATGAGGGGACGGTATAGCTCAAGTGGTAGAGTGTGTGCTTAGCATGCACGAGACCAGAGTTCAATCCCCAGTACCTCCTCTAAAAACAAATAAACCTAATTACCTCTACACACACACACACACACACACAAATTAGTATAACTGGTTCAAGGTTCAAAAATCATGCTTCAGGGCTAAAGATTATGCTTAATTGAACAAAATGATACATAGACAGAGAAGCTTTTATCTCAAAAAGCCTCCCCATCAACCCACCCCACCCCCCAGAAAGTGCTAAATAATTTTTTTTCAAATTTAAAGTAAAATATCAACTTTTAAACGATTTTTTAATACAATTTTAGAGAAACTTCTAGGCTTGCTATACCAAAGTTCAGAATCACTAAAGATAGGGTTTAGAAGATACAAAATTACAACATACTATTCAAAATAGTCACAACTGAGGCAGCATGGAATGTTGATTTTCGTGTTGCTGTCACACGTGCTTCATTTCCAGATCCTGTACAGGAATTATTTCCTTTGTACATTAATAAACATCCTTTGTTTAAGCACACATCTAACAAATAAGGAAGCAAAGGTCAAAAGTTGAGGCAGTATCTGGGGGAGAAGAACAGAACTTCAGTTAAAACCTAACAACCAGTTTCATCATATGACTTCGATAAGTCGCGACGGCTGCCAGTGCCGGTCATTTCCTGGGAGTAATGGAAAAGTTCTTGATGAAACGTGGCAAAAAGCTTAGATTCTCAGGGGTGGAAAATCAGCTGAATTCTGATACAAACAGATTAGACCTAAGAGTAAGCAGACATTCTCTTCAGGGAGCCTACACGCCTCATACAAAGATCAAAAGGTGGCCTTTTCCATTTGTTCAGAGAAATGTGCAATTTAAACACACAGCACCTGCCTTGGCGTATGGAAATAATAAACTCAGAAATTTAAGCAAAATCAAACAAGAACAAGGAAAACCAACCTCAGCCCCAGCTGCCTGCAGATGACTTCTGCGTCCGCATCATCCCACTGGTCGTCACAGACAGTCCCCCACTGGCCGGCGTGGTAGAGCTCCACTCGGCCCTCACGCGCGCTGCTGCCCCCAGCGAGACGGAGGGCGGGGAACGCGGGGCCTGCGCGGTGTGACAGTAACAAAAAATTAAACCTACGTATTAGCATTCAGCCACAAGATCGGCTATATTCCATTTCTTTGCCTTTCTCCATCATTAAATAATATTTATCAAGCCACTTCTGTGATATGGCCATACCCGCGTATGTCTGATATATTTTATGGTCATCTTGACCAATTAAAATACTCCAACTTGAATTACACTCATCAAATAGCTCTCAAGAGGAAATAGTCTAAATTCACTTTTCCCCAGCAACCTCAGGAACCAGAAAAGCCACACTCAAAACTCCAGCTATTGGAAACCCATTTGATGTTTTATGGTATTGTGGTAGTGACATT